TGGTCTCTGATTTGAGGCATCCCCAACCGTTTAATAATGGAGTAATGACTTAATAACAGAAAAAGGTGGCGAGAAAGGGAAAGTGTGAATAAGTTTTGGAATGCGGGGTCTGAATTAGAACTCCTCCCTGAAATAGGGATCACCCCGCTCCTTTGCAGTACACTTTTGCCGACCAAGTGTAGAGCTAATTTATTATTACCTTTATTATTAAAAAATAAATAAAAAGGCACAAAACCTCCCAAGGAAATGGACTGATTCCTTCACATTTTCATAGGAATGCATGGAGTTCCAAATAGCTATATTTATTTATATTTATACCCTGATTTTCTCCCCAGTGCCCCCCCCAGCTTACAGTTTCTCCCCTCCTCAATTTTATTCTCACAACCACCCCATGAATTCATTAGGGTGAGAAAATCAGCTTCATGGCAGACTTTGGATATGAACTTGGGTCTCCCGGACAGGGTTTCCAATCTCCAGATGGGGCCCGGAGTTCTCCCAGAATTACAGCCAATCTGCAGACTACAAAGATCAGTTGCCCTGGAAGAAATGGCGGCTTCAGAGGGTGGCCTCTATTGATATCACATCCTCACTGAGCTCCTTCCCCTCCCCAGACTCTGCCCCCAAATCTCCAGGAATTTCCTAACCTGGAGCTTGTGATCCTAGCCCAACACTTTACCCACTACGCACACACTGGCTATCATTCAGTGGGATTATCCACCCTTACTGGATGCCCCACCTCCGTGGCCTTCACATCACTAGCCTGAAAGAAAGTTCACATGGATGTAGTAAGTAGTGTCTTTCCATCTTTTCCCTTTCCAAGGTAATTGACTGTGCATCTGTGGCTGACTTTCACATTGCTGGACTTAATTTTGCACAGACTGGTTTGGATAGTCAAAAGTATGCACGTGTTTGTCGACGGTCAGCCTGGTAGCAATACCTGAAGATGATACTGGTTTGTGCCAGCTGTGGATGCTCAGCTGGATGGCTGTGAAGATTAGAACCTAAAAGCAAAGCACAGCAATCTGCCCCTGAGTATCAACACAATGCCAAGATGACAGTGTTTGTGCACTTTTGATTTTTAACTGAGATTTAGGAATATGCTCATCATGGTGAATTCAAATATTTAAATACCTGAACTGGTTTTATTAGCTTTACTTACAAAGTATGGTGGGAGATCATTTCTAAGCTAGGGTGGATGTTTCTGGGTTGGAGCCTCTACCCACTTTTCAGATGTTGGAGGTACTGGCCACGTTGCATTCATTTGATTGGTTTGTTTTATCTTGCTTACTCAAACAAGCAAAAAAACCCTTAGCTTGTTATTGTTGGCTGAGTTTATTTGATCTTGGTTTAATTCACTGTACCTTTTAAAGAAGGCACCTTGTGTTGAACCCTCTGTGATGAAGCCATACAGAACTCAGGTCAGTACTATCAAATAAGAGAGCAGTAAAAATGAAGAGCAGAGCAGTCTGGGGATTATTATGTAAATGCAACGTGTTTCATATTTTATACATGAGAGAAGTCCATCTCTCCTTCAGTGACAGAATAATTTTTGTATTTTGAAATGCTGGTAATGCAAGTGTGTACCATTTAAACAACTCAGAATGAATCTTTAATGATAGGTATTATCATGTATCAATAAGATTCATTCAGGTAAACTCAAACAGGAATTCCACGTCATGCTGCTTCAGATTACTTCTGTGGTTTACGGAGGGATGGTATTGCCCCAAGTGTCCGATCAGGGATTTGGTTACCAAACAGTTTGTGAAGTGTTTTGGCTCTTCCTCCCTTCCCTTTGCAAAGCAGATGATCCTAGCACATTGTAAATTGAAAGCAGACGTGCAGCCATTTCCCAACACATTAGCAGAAATTTTAGTGCTGATGATCACAAGACAGTGATAACATTTGCTTTGACAAGGAAAAGGATGCTTGTGTAGAAGTTCTACACAGACCTCGGCCAATTTTCTTTCTGATCCAAGCTGTACCATTTGCTATTTTCATTTTCCTGGAGCTCTCAAGCAAAATATGCCAAGTTGCATGTTAGCTTTGTGATGTGGACCAAGAAATCATTAACTTTTACTGTTGTACCTACAGCAGGATTTGAATATGGGCTTGTACAATCTGCACTCTAATACACTACCTAAATATGGGGGCTTGGCTGCTGTTATGGGTTATTTGATTTCAGATACTATAAAAAAGAAATGTATTACAAATGTGATAATAACATACATTGTACCAACTGATCTTTAAAATGTAGAAGTTGGCTCTTTGCCAGGCTTAGGTGTTTGGTAGAGAACAAAGAGTTGGAAGCAGAAGTTATGTTACAAATGGCTTCCCAGTGCTTGAGAGATGATGGTGTCTGTAAACTCCCAGAAATGATACAGAGAAACAAACTCAGCCTAGACACCTAATAAAGTTCACTGGAAAGGCATTTCTCAGTCTCTAGTGCCATGTACATTTCATTGTGGTTGGCTAAGATAGATAAGGTAAAACATTAGCCAAGCTGAAACAATAAATTTAGGAAAGTACCCTAGGCAAGGCAAGGTTTAACACCGTGCCCATTCCTAGAACACAAGTACCATCTCTGAGTTGTATAATGTCTCAGTGGCTTGCATTATCTGATTTTGGGCAGTAGTTTGTTATCCATAGTTGGATAACAGAGGATTCTGGAGACAGTTGTAGGTTTCACCCTCGGTTTGTAATAGGTGTAGCTAGGGGTCATTTAGTAGAAAAAGAGGTCATTTCGTAGGAAAAGAGGTGCAGGAGCTCATTAGCATAACTCATTTGCATATGCCACAACCCCTGACATCGCCGGAAGTGTGTCAGAAGGCAACACCCACCGCTCAGGCTCCACTGGACTGTTCTGGATTGCTAGCTATTAGGAGGGGAACGTGCAGATCTGTCCTCACTGAGGAGGGAGAGCTTGTACCTGAATAAAACTTGGTCTTAAAGGTGCCACTGGACTGTTTTGGGCCGGGGTGGGTGGGCTCTGCAACTTACCTGGCTGCTTCTTGCTCTGACTGAGGGCTGCTGGGAGCAGGGGGTGGGGCTTGTTGCATGTGCCCGCCCCCTGGGCTCCTTACTGCCAGAGCTCCGCTCCTGTGCGCTCCCGCAGGAAATTACCCCTGGGTGTAGCCATTGAGCCTCACTGTCATTTCAGGTGAACTGAGAATGCATTCCAGAGTGTCTCTATGTTGTAGGAAAAGACTGGTGATGGTGCCAAGGTGTTTTCCCTTTGTGATCTTGTCAGGGAGGAATCCTTGATTAGCTTCTGAGGAGCCCCCCCCCCCAGTCCCTTCAAAGAAAGTCTGAAATTTTAGCACACTTTTAAAATCTTGCTCTTACCCAAGGCACTCAAGGGTTGTTCTCCCTTCACCCTTTTATTGTCACAACAACCCCGTGTGGCTTGTGAGTTTGAGAGGGAGTAAGGTTTCCCTTGCTCGACAGCTAGTCGAATCCGACTCAAGGGGGCGGTGTTCATTTCCATTTCCAAGCCGAAGAGCCAGCGCTGTCCGAAGACATTTCCGTGGTCATGTGGCTAGCATGACTAAATCTCCAAGGTGCACGGAATGCTGTTACCTTCCCACCAAAGTGGTACCTGTTTAGTAAAGGCAGGCCTCTTTTCAGGCCAGAGCGCCCCGAAGCGACGCTCCCCCAGTGAACAGGCCCGCCCCCTCCTCTGTCACCCGCGCATGGCCGGACTGCCGATAGAAGAATTTAGGCATTTGCTTATGGAGGGGCGCCATGCCGGCCTGCCGCCCCACCCTCGCCAAAAGCCCTGCTCTGGTGCAACTAAGGGGCTGTCTTGGTGCCCCTGGGCTTCGCCTGTCTGGCGGGGTGGGGCTTGGCTGCTCTGACCTGGTGCTGCTGTGCCAAGAGGAGGAGGATAGGAAGGCAGCGAGGTAGGCATGTGCACCAAGCCCCTTGCCAGCCCACTCACAGGCCACCCTTCCCCCCCTGTGCCTGGGGTTTTCCTCCTGCCTTCTCCCGCCTGCTTGCTTCCCCACACCTTGTCTTCATGGACCCACATGTCCCCCTTCAACAGTCGCTGCAGCCCCAGCATCAGGAGGGGTGTGTGGGGGCCTGGGGCACAGCTCCTGTTCGCCTCGGGGAAACAGGATCAGGCCAGCTCCTACGCAGGAGGAGACGGGGGAGAGGCAGAATCCCTCCTGGGATCACAAACGGAGTCTGGGGGCAGCGGGGGAGCCAGTCGCTTAAACTCTAAGCTGCGGAGTCCTGTGAATAAAATTTCTACTTTGTGAGTTACTGGCCTTAAAGTTGTGAGTGAGCAATTAGGCTGCTGCAGAAATCAGTGTGCTCTGGAGCACTCGGAGGATCTTTTTTGTTTGGGGGGGAGAACAGAGGCAACGAGGGGCCCTCTCTGAGTGTTAGCTTGGCTTGCCAAAGCTCTTGGGTGCACCAACAGCCAGTCTCCCCTCTCAGACACTGGAAATTTGTAAACTCCCCCCCCCCCTTTTTTCCCCCT